AAATCCAATCAACCATTCTACTCAATTTCCAGGCTTCCTCTTTAGCCAACCTTCTTCTAGATAGCTCAGAATCAGTCAAGGGTCTAACCTCAGCTGCTAGATCAAGACTATGAAGTTCCTCCTCTAAAAGCTTAAGATTGTATTCCACATTGCCAAAGACATCATTATTCCACTTTTTTAAGGCCAGTTTGAGTGATTGGAATTTCTTTAGACATTGGAAACCAGCCCAGCCGACCACAGTGGTTTCAGCCCAGGTTTTTTCCACAAAAGCTGAGAAAGTTGGGTGTAAGAGCCAGGCATTAAGAAATCTAAAAGGCTTTGGACCCCAATCTCGCTCATCTTCCATAAGCAAGATAGGGCAGTGGTCTGAGATTCTTCTTGGTAACCCCCAAAGTTTAAAATTAAACTTTTGCATCCATTCCGGACTGAGCAAGAACCTGTCAATCCTACTCATTGTTGTTTAAGTTTTTTGCACGATGTCATCATACTATGGAACTCCAATAGAATAAGCAATATGTATACTAGTTAATTGTGCCTGTGCAAGGCACCAGTGACTTGCACAGTTTTTTATTATTTTATTTTATTTTTTTGCCTTTACGGTAGTGTTTGATTTAATTAAAATAAAATATAATAGAACGATTATTTGGTAGAGGGTAGAGAAGAATAATTTCATTCCAATTCAGCGGCCTTCGATTTTATTTCAATTAATTAAATATTACTTTGAAATTATTATTATAAAAAAAAAAGATTTTTATTTTTAAAAGTAAATGGAGTAAAAGATTAAACAAATTGAATCGTTTATATTATAAGACTTGTGGAGCATGTTATTTATAAAATAAATAAATAAATAAATAAATAAATAATAAAAAAATAAAAATAATAATAATAATAATAAATTAATCGGATATGTTTTGAATTGTTTAAAATTGAACTTCATGCTATTTTTAAAAAATAAAAAAGTCTTTTTATTCAACTATTGTAGAAAACAAAGAACAATTATGGGAAAGTCTATTTGCACATGATATAAACTCTCGCTTTACATCACAAATGGTATTCAGATATAAACTTTTGAGCAATTGTCAAAGTTCAGATTTAAAATTACGAATGAAAATAAATTATTCAAATATATATTTCGTTCAATTATTTATATCCAAACAACTACTTTATATTCATAAATTTATATTCAAACATTTGACTTTTGTTTGAATATTTATATCCGAACATTATTTGTGATCTATACTGAGAGTTTGTACTATGTGCAAATAGAATTACCCAAAAATAATATCTCTATAAAAGCTTATTTTCCCAAAATAATCCTCAAAACTCTACCAAAAAAGAAAAAACAAAAAAAGGTAAAATGAAGAATTAAAAATTAAAAAACAAAGCTGCAAAATAAGAAATTAAAATAATCCAATACCCTACTTTGTCTTGTTTGGGGAATGCTAAATAAGTATACTTTTTGATAGAAAAGTAAAAAAGTGATGTGACTAAAAAAAAAAATAAAAAGATAAAAACAAAGTGTACTACGGTAAGTCTTCCCAAAGAACCTCAGGTATTTTAAATAAGCCACATGGAAGCATATTTGTTTAGAAGGACTGGATAAGAGGGAATTGTAATGCCCCAAATTTTTAATTCAAATGATAATGCAACAATCATGGCTCTCTTAAAGGAAGACCAAATATAACTTCTCATACTTGCGTTACATAATAATAATAGTTCCTCATGCGATATTACATTGATTCAACAACAAGTAAATAACCAAATAAGCACCCCAAAGGGTTTACAATCTTCTAAGGCTTAAGCCCGGTACACAAAATGGTTATTCAAACCCACACATACATCTTCCCAAAGAACCTCCGGTATTTTAAATAAGCCACATGGAAGCATATTTGTTTAGAAGGATTGGATAAGAGGGAATTGTAACGCCCCAAATTTTTAATCCAAATGATAATGCAACAATCATGGCTCTCTTAAAGGAAAACCAAATATAACTTCTCATACTTGCGTTACATAATAATAATAGTTCCTCATGCGATATTACATTGATTCAACAACAAGTAAATAACCAAATAAGCACCCCAAAGGGTTTACAATCTTCTAAGGCTTAAGCCCGGTACACAAAATGGTTATTCAAACCCACACATACATAGCCCTTGGCTTACAAATAAGATCACAACAAATGAGAACTTTAGTGCTCTCAATACAAGCATTTTCATGCCCTCAATTAGACGGATTCACCACGTCTTTTCCTGTACAAAAATCCGATAGGGTGAGCATATAAAGCCTAGTAGAAAATTCTTAACAAAGTATATACATTTTATACAAGTCTCAAGAGATGAATGCATATGCCATGCCATGTCTTTTTGAAAATAAAGCTAATCTTCATCTTTTGAAATCATGCTCAATGATGTTATGCAACTTCAACTGTTCAAAATTTATCAATTTAATTAAAGGGGGCAGTAAATACAACTCTGGTAATCCCTAGGTCGGTATATGCAAGTAGACTATACGAGTACTACAATTTCATGTACACCACCTATCAAGATTTACCACCGTATTTACCCCAAAACCATTTCATGAAAACCCATTTCTCAACATTCTTTTCTCAATGCAAATTTTCAAAGCTTAACATAGTCCAATGAATTGAAATGCCAATGTATGCTTAATAATGCAATGCAACATTACTTCCATATTTAATTGTTCCACACAATATACTATTGTGATCAAAATTCTCAATCCTCTTTTCAATACAATTCCACAAGATGAATATATATATATATATAGCCAATTCATTCAAGAGAATAACGTAATTCCCACATTTCGAGCAATTTCAACAATTTAGTCAATTCAAGAGTAAATCAACATTTTGATAACAATTTCTAAAATAAACAACATTTCTCATTTTTTTCACAAAATTCGTCATTTATATATAAATAAACAATTTTCAAAACATTTATTTGTTTTGGTACACAAAATAAATATGACAACATCTTCCAAGGATTTTCAACATCTTTCAAAGAAAAGACCCAATTTCTAGGTTTTCTCAACAAAACCATTCATCTCCAAGATATTTAGAAGAATCTCTCCAAAATCATCTTTCATCAATCAATATGGTTCAAAACCTTCAATTTCTATTTTAAAAGGAAAAGAAATTAAACCCTCTTTCAAAATCACTCATTTTCTTGAAATCAACAATCAATTTCTCAAAGCTAATCAAAGGATGATTTCGAAAATCATCTAGATCTTACAAAAACATATATATAACTCTAAGAAAATCCAAGTTTTGAAGAAGAAATGAGATGAAACCCCCAAAATCAACGGTGTTGAAACTCGATCTTCACCGCACACAATGAAGCGCTCGAGATGATAACCAACTTTGGTGAAGAACTTAGGTCTAAATCCTAATAGATTTGAAGAAATCAAAGAAAGAAGATGACTTCTAGAGAGAGAAGCTTCTGATCTAAAATTCTGGAGAGTTTTAGAGAGAGAGAGAACTGAAAAAGTGATATGAAATATCAGTTTCATGAACTGATATGGCATGGTCCGCTCGAGCGTGAAATGCCCCGCTCGAGCGTCAAATACACTAACTCAATACTTTTGCAGATAGGTCAAACTTTTGAAACCAAACATTCTCCGCTTGAACGGACAAACAACTTCGAATGCATTTTGCATTTTTGTTTTGAGGGCGTTGCCCCTCAATTCCGCCAGGGCGCTGCCCTAGGACTCACCAAGGCGCGCTGCCCCCTAGACCCCCGCGAGCTGACCGGATAACTCGAACTCTGCCAGGGCGCTACCCTTGGACCCGCCAAGGGGCGCTGCCCCCTGGACCCCCGCGAGCTGACCAGGTAGCTCGACCCCTGACCAGCCCAGTCGAAGAGGCAAAACATGAAAAAATGATCGAAACCAGGATCGCTACAGAAATTGTGATTTATCATACTGTTAATCTTGTGATACATAATCTCTAGATTATTTGGTTGGAAAAGATGTGTATTTCATATTTGTTTAGTCATGGGATTAAATGTTTTAAAAAAAAAAAACTATTTTATTCAATCATATACTTGTTTGGGATATTATGAAGAAGTATAAATGTTCAAAAGACTATTTTATCATTTTGAATTGTTTACTAAATAATAAGAATACTAAATTTGAGTTATAAATTATATTTTATTTTTTTGTTCGAACTTTTAAAAAAATAAATAAATAGAACATCAATAACAATTAAATAAATTTATTTTAATTTTTAGTGGAGACTTTTAAATTTTATTTTATTTTACTAAGTACAATAATCTGAAAGGTCAAAAATGTGATTTTACCCTCTAATTCGAAAGAGGAGTTATTCCACCATTTTGTGTCCCACATCCCTAATGTAACACAATAATCCCACAAATAAGGGGTTGATAGTACGGTTGTATTATTAGTTCAGCTTACATTTTTTGGACTAAACATCGGACTATTACATGGATTAGATATGGAGTCCTATCGTACCCTTTAAATAAGGCCTAAAGTGACTAATGATGCAAGTATACGATCGAGGGCCATAGAAAGACTATGGTATACACTTTTTAAACGGTGTGTACTATATATACTTTATAATTATAGAAAAAAATAACATAATTCTATACTTTTTAAATCATAACTAAAAATTAAAAATAAAATAGACATAATTAAAAATCTCAAAATGATGTCATGACTAAAAAATAAAATTAGTCGTAACTAAAAAAGAGAATAATGTAATTAAGGATGCATATACTGAAGAGAAAAGCTAAGGATCATGAAAATCTTTTCATGAAAATGATCATGAAAGAGTTATGATCTTTGGATTACCTTGATTAGTGTGTGGTGCTTTATTCTAAGTGTAATCTAAGGGTCACAAAGCTTTCATGATTATTTTTATGAAAGATTTTTCATAATACCTAGCATTGTTGCATACTGAAGGGAGCTGGATGCCATTTCTAGAGGATAGTAGGAGGGTTTCAAGAGTGTGGGGGGGTATTCTTTCGGTCGCTAGCTGTAATCCACAATTGGGGAATTTCTATCAGTCCAATTACAAGATTGTGGTTGGAAATGGATCTCGAATTAGATTTTGGGTTGATAAGTGGGTTGGTGATCAGTGTTTGAATGCTACGTTTCCAAGACTCTATTTGCTGTCGGTTGAGAAGGAAGTTTTTCTTCGTCTGCTTGTGGAAAGGAAAGGTTCTTCGGAAGATTGGTTGCTGGTTTTCAGAAGACCATTAAGAGCTTGGGAGGTAGCTGAGGTTGGAAGGCTTATTAAACGCAGCCAGGATTTCAGTGGCTGAGGCTGATGACTGTTTAAGATGGATTGCATCCCCTGTAGGTAAGTTCAGTATTGCTTCCATTTATAATAGAAATAAGGGAGAAGTTTTGTCTATTGTTCCATCACTGCTATGGAACAATCTCTCTCCGCCTAAAATGCAATTCTTTGGATGATTGGCATAGAAGGGTAAGGTTAAAACAGTGGACTATCTTCAAAGAATTGGTGTGCTCAGTGGGAGTGTTCGCAACATGTGTGTTTTCTGCAATACTGATATTGAGTCGGTTGATCATGTGCTCTTGTTGTGTTCGCCTATTTGGAAGGTGTGGTCGAGTCTAGTGGATTGGTTGGGTGTTCAATGGGTGGTGTCTGGGTCAGTTGACGGGCTTCTTAAATGGTGGGTTGGGTTTAAATTTAAGAAGTTTGAGTGGTCTGTATGGAAAGCTATTCCGATGGCTTTGCTATAGTCCATTTGGAATTGTAGAAATAAATATGTTTTTTCAGGTATACAACCTAAGCCGGAAGTGCTTAGTATGCAGGTAAAAGTTAGGATTGCATTATGGATTAAGTATACTATCACCATCCCAAATGTTGTTTGTTAGTGCAGGACTTAATATTTAATTTACCACAAATCAGGTTTCCTGCAGTACGAGGGGTGTGGTATCCTGAGTTTTTTTTGTTGTAGGAGCTGCTGCAAAGGTGGTTGGGTGTGCTGGTGCTGTTCATCTGCTTAATGTTTGAATATATGGCAGTATGCATGGTGGCTGGGTTTGGGTAGAAGGCTATAGGAGGATGCTCTCAGTTCTAGGTGGTAGGGTGGGTTGGTGGCTCTGTTTGGCACTATTATTGGGAGTGGGTTGGGAGTTTTTTTTATAATATTGGGGTTGCTGCTTTGGTTTTGTAAGTTTACTTTTATTTGTTTTGTTTCCTCTCTTGTTCCGTTGATCCTCATCGACCTGTGATGGTGTGTTAGCATATGATTGTGCGTCATTCTCGGTACCAATTTAATTAGGATCATTTAAGCCGCTTTGATACTCTTTGCACTCATCCGTTTGCTTTTGATCTACTCTGTTGATTCATCAATAAAGCTTTTTCTTTCTGCTAAACAAAAAAGAAGGTAGTAGGTGAAGGGGTAGTGGAGGTGGTAGGTGGAGTGAGTGTTAGTGGAGGTGGTAGGTGGAGTGGGTTATGGTAAATTCTAACAGTCCCTGATATTATGATTTTATAGTATAAAGGATATCAAATATTTTCATGATATCTAAGGTCCCTCAACATCAATCCAAAGAAATTTCAGTCCCAGAGAAAATTCACGTTATAGAGAAAATTGGTCCAAATTTCAGTCCCAGAGAAAATTCACGTCACAAAGAAAATTGGTCCAGAGAAATTCTGGGAAGAATTTCTGTGGACCAACCCAGAGAAAATTTAGTTCAAAAACCAGAGAATTTCTCTGGTTTTAACTCAGAGAAAATTCAGTTCAAAAACCAGAGAATTTCTCTGGTTTCAACTTCAAATGAAACAAAATACTTAATTGATCCCAATTACTTAACTGAAGCAAAATACTCATAACCTACCAGTTTTCAATATACAACAAATGGCATATTCATTCGATATATAAGATCATTCAATGCAGTTTACAGGTTAACAAAGAAAAATAATAATAAAAAAGAAATGACTGGCAGATTTATATCAAATCTCCTAATCATTAGTTACCACTTCCATAATTACAAAGTAGCAAGTTTCTTAAAGGCCTATATCAGATATTGTTCCCTAAATTCTAAAGCCACGCTTTTATGTTTACAGCCCCAAGTTTTCACCTTTGCAACAAGCAGTGGGCTTCAGGTCCATCCAAAGCTCCATAGAATATTAATCACTGCAAAATTCATTATTAGTAGCACTTTGTCTAATCATATTTGAAAAAACTCCTTGGTTCCTTCCAAAGATAGGACACTTGAGAAAGTTGAAAGTTCAATACACAACTCAGTCAACACTTAAATGATCACTTCCATTCTTTTTGGCCAAAAAAATGATTTTTTTTTTTTTTTTTTTGTTGTTGTTGCAGGCATTGATTAACTGCATGCATAAACAGACACATTTGGCTGCTTCTGTACCACCAACAGATCATGTATAAGCCCAGAATAAAAGCACACACAAGAACATTTTTTAAGCGAAGGCCAACTGATGTACTAAGGCAACAAATACTAAATAGGCACGGTACCGACTTCCCTCTATGTATCATGCACACACGCGCACACACAATTTTGCATAATTAGGAGATGACGAGAATGTCCACCAAGTCCCAAGTCAGAGGAACTGCTTTGTCTATTAGGAACTTTATCACCTACATAATCATTGCAAATTTGCAAGGTGAGAAGCTACTAAACAGAGAAATTTGAATTTTCTCTAGGTTGAACTCAGAGAAATTCTGAATTTTCTCTGGAACTATAAAACTCTGATTTGATCAATTTGTCTTTGGTTCTACTGCTGCTGATTCAATCACAATTTCCTGCACAAACAAATTAATAGTTCTTCAATCACAATTCAATCACAATTTCATGGACTCTAGAGAAATTTCAAATTTCTCTGCCGTGGGTTTGATCCTCCACCATTGTTGCTACTGTTGTAAGTGGCTGTACTGATGTTTCAAATTTCCATTTACTCTTGCCATTTCACACCAATCAACAGAGAAATTCTGCGCTGAATTTATCTCTAGAGAAATTTTGAATTTCTATGGAACTGATAGTGATGAACAAAAGACAAGGAAAAAAAAAGAGATAAGAGAGGCTAGCTATGAAAAAAGTAATTGTTTTGTTTCAAGTTCTGGTAATGGAGTACAATGACTATGTTGTTGCTTATGTGGCCGTGACAAATCAGCAACCTCACTGCCAGACTCCGATGGTCTAAGATTGGGTTCTGGTGAAGGTGTTTCGAACGGGAACGACCTTGACATTGTCTGCCTTGACATCGGGCCACAGAGGCAGAGGAAGACGACGGAGGACAAGGCGGTCCGTGGCGGAACCAAGCATGGCCAATCCGGTTGCGAGGCCGTAGACACGCCCCGTTCCAAGCCCTAGCCTCCGGTGCCGGATTGTGACAACAACGATTGTTCCGACGCAATTGATCACCTTCGATTTTCTCTCTACTCAAATCAAGCTTACTCACCGCCTCTGTATGTATGTATGTACATGTGTGTGTGTGTGCGCGTGAGAGTAGACAAAAAGAAGGGGGCTGAATTTCTCTGTGATAGATGGGAGGGACTTTAGACATCAAAAAATAATTTTGTGGATATCTTCCATTATGAAAAGTGGGAGAGGGACCCTAGACCAATTTTCCATAATTTTAGTACTACTCTTCATTTTTCACTAGTTAAAATATAAATAAGATATATAATTCATTTTTCTTAATCATTTTTTATTTATTTATATAGCACTGCTCTTTTTTTTTTTACCTATCTTTACAAATTATTTAAAGAGCCTCCCAAGAATCTTCAAATGTAACTAACCTTGGTTTTTTTTTTTTTCCATTAAAATAACTATTATAGTAACTAGTTGAGTTAGTTGAATAGAACTTTTAAATATTCATGAATTAGTCGAGTTCAAGTTGCACTTAAATAATAGAGATCGGCTCGTTAAATATTTGATAAACTTGAGTTTGGCTTGAACCAACTCGATTACGTAAACGAGCCGAGCTAGAGCTCGAGCTCGAGCTTGAACTTGAGCTTGATTAAAAAAAAAAAAAAATACACAAAAAAAATTAAACTTAAATTAATTTACTTATTAAGATAAAAAAAAAATTATAAACAAAATATTTAAGAATGTTTATATTAATAATAAATTTTATCAATCAAATATGCAAATTTACACAAACATCAAACATAAATAGAAAAACAAAATATATTATAATTGAGAATTAAACTTTATTGAAACAATTTGTATATATATATATATATATATATATATATATTTATTTGTGCACATTAAAACTTAATTGATATGGTAATTTCCAAAATCAAAATTGAGGGTTCTTTTTCCTTTCTTGATTAGTTTAACCGCCTAAAGCCCTAGGGTTTCCAAATGCTATTGTCATATATAATACAATATATTTTAGACAAATCAAATCAAATTGTTTTGCTCACACGTAATTCATTTTGATTCGGAGATTTTTCTTGGGTCGCACTCTTTAATTCTCTATGAAGGAGGTAGAGAGGACCACCAGCAGCACCACCACCACCACCACCATGGATGACTTATGTCCTGAGCTTCTTGAATCCATCATCTGTCGACTTCCTTTGATTTCTCGCGCAAGATCCAAGTGCGTCTCCAAGACTTGGTGCAGTCTCATCACCTCTCTCCGCCACTCCTTCCCTCCTTCTGTTGAATTCACCCCATGTGAAGGAGGTGATGCTCTTCCATGGGAACACACCTTGGTCAACAATGGAAGGCAACCAACCAAGTCAAGCTTGGTGGCCACCAACCATGTCAAGGGTCAAGAATGGAGGCTACCCAAAGGCACTCCCACCTACTCCAATGTGTATAAATCCCAAACTTTCACTCTTCAATGCTCTACCAAACACAACCTTCCATGGCTCGTCGATTCCTGCAATGGGTTGCTTCTTTATGCCAAGAACGATCGTAATCACAACTGGTCTTACTATATCTCCAGCCCTGTTCTTGATCAATTCATTGCTCTCCCTCCGAGGCACAAACCATCTATCTTGGCTCGTGAAAGTCTAGCTTTTAATGGGTTGAATTCAAATTCAAATTCAAATTCCAAACACAACCACCACCACTTCAAGGTGATTTGTTTCTTCTTTAACGAAGTTGATGCAGAGTCAGGGAAAATCAATTGCCAAACTTTCTCTGCACAAACAGGGGAATGGAGAGAACATGAAGCTCCTTTAAACAACTCTAATCTATTGCTAGAAGATGGGTTTCGGCGTTCTGATTGTTTCAGTCCCAGTGTTTACAGCAAGGGTAGATTGTACTGGATATGGAGTCTATGCATGTTGGTTTACGATGACAAAAGAGAATTCTTTAAGCTTGTTGGATTACCAAAGAGCAAGTCTCGCAGGAATTTTAATTATGTGTTGTCTCTACAGTTGTGGGAATCCGAGGGGCGAATTCATTATTGTGAACCAATTGAGGAAGGATTTCGATTGTGGATTTATATTGACGATGGCGATGAAAATTCATATGATTATGATTTCAAGAACTGGCAAGCAAAGACGACGATCGTGTTAGAGCGAATTAGATTGGGTTTGAGTTGGCCGTGCGCGTTCAATGAAGAATTGCAGGAGTTGTATATGCAGGTGGCACCAGGAACCATTTTTTCTTACAGTTTTGAGACTCGGAAATTGGCAAAGTTGTGTTGCTATGGCAAGCCTGGTAAAGATTATTCCATTAGCTATATTTATCCATTCATGTTCAACTCTGCCAATTTGATTCCAAGGAACTAATTGAATTGATGATGGCCTATAGGGATATATAAGTAAATATAGTTCAAGGTACATATATAGCTGAAAGAAAATTCAATTGTGTAATGGTGGTGGTGGTGTTCAAGATCAATAATAAGACTGATCCATGCAACAAATCAAAAGTTAAAATCTTGAAATTCTTGCATATTTTTGTATAGAATTTTTATTTTTTTGGAGTTGTAGTTGGTTGACAATGTAACAATGAACTCTACTATAGATCTTGAATTAATGAATTCCCTAAAGTAGTTTTTTATTTTTTTGGCTACTGATATATCGAATGAGAATGTTGCTTGCAAAAACTTGTTAGTTAATGAATGAAAGACACTATACATGAACCAAGAAGAGAAGAAACGGATCAAAAGGTTGAGCCTATTTTCCAAAAAAAAAAAATTTGTTGTTTAGGCCTAAAAATTAGACTTTCTTTTCAAACATGTTGCCTTAGAATATCTAAGGCAATTCTCTCTCTTTTTTCTCTCTCTCTCTCTCTCTCTCTCTCCTCGCTTATATTTTCTCTAATTATTAATGAGAGGAATTACTGTCCAGTGGATAAAAGAAAAAAATTACAGAAACATCACCCATACAAATGTTTACTTGTATCCCACCATAGAATTACTTACATGACCGATGTATTTATAA